TTCCGCGATCATGACTTAAGGCCTGGCTACACTATGCGTTTTCTTCGTGCGTTTTTTGCGTGTTTGCGTGTTTTGCGTGATATCGTTCTAGAAAAAGGAACGATATTACGTTTTTGTGATGTTTTTCACCTTAAATTTTAGTTACATAAGAGTTATATTAGCTTTTGTATATAACCAAAGTAAAAATTATATTGTTTATAACTTTTTTTCCTAGAACGATATTACGCAAAACACGCAAACCTGCAAAAACGCACGCAGAAAACGCATAGTGTAGCCAGGCCTTTATTTGTAAGCTCCTTTCTGTATGAAAAAATAGTCGGTTTGGTCTGAATTTTGGCATGCTCATTCCCAAATGAATGATTATTCACTATACGAAAGTTTGTATTGATAGCTTTAATAGTTTTAAAGATACAGATGATCAATCTTTTTCCAGAAACTAAGTGCACACCCGTTATGTTCATAAACATTAGAGGAAGGGAGAAAGACGGAGGGACTTGTCCTCAATATCACTATTAGGTCAGCCCTAATCGCACACTTTGCCGCCCTTGGTGCGTGGAACACATGCCGCCCCCAAACCTTTGGCCCCTTGTCGAGAAAAAAAAACATCTTGGATCCACCCGTGATGTCTGGCCATTGAAGGACTAACCATGCCAAAGCGCCAAATAGTATTCGTGTTAGCAACGGAACAAGCTCAGGTAACGAGCGTCTTTCATCAGATTACAGACTGAATTTGAATGGTATGTTGAGGAACTCAAGTCATTGAATAAATGGCCATTTATACTTGCATGTCCGTCGTGAAGAACATCCCATACTAATTTCATCCCATCTGTACTCGCATACGAAAGCGAAAGCTAAAATTGCTTATCTATGCGATTCAACGTCGACTATTTAAATTCGTCTCTAAACTTTTTATGTCATCACTCAATGCAGGCTCTATCTTATGCGTCGTTTGAATTTGCAATGCAAATTAGACCATCACATTTTCAGCGTTTCTCCGCAGTTATCGTTCTTTTTTGTGCACACCTTTTCACATTGATTGGTACCGATTAACCTATAAGTTAACGAACATTAGGCATCATCGCTCATTAAAAGCGACAACTGTTATTAGGGATGTGCTGAGACTTCATTCATTACCAACCCTAACCAGTAACCACCATTCTGAACCCGTTTACTTAAAGGAAAAGGGCCACCTTCGTGAAATATGAAGATATCGTTGTTTTTCATTTTGACATTATTATTTTTCATTTTCTTTTTAAAACTGGTGCCAGAAGTGCACAATTCGCGAAAAAGTATTTAAAACTATTTAACATATTGGTACTACGTTGATACTCTCTACGGCACCTACTGTATGATGGCATAGCGATGACGTCACACTCAAGCCAATCAGCGTTCAGAAGACAGACTCGTCGGATTGTGTCAGATAAGCTGATTGGTTAAAGCTGAGCTGGTTGGAGCTGATTGGTAAAAAACCAAAGCCTCACCGCGGGTGGCTGTATTGTCGGATAAGAACGCATTCCTGGGATAAGAACGCATTCCTGGCGTATTTTCTTTTAAAATTGCCGATAACTACGAATGGAGGCCGAAATCGGCCGTAAGGAGGTAGACAAGCAGGTTTTCAGACACGGGCTACAAGATGGCTATCTCAGTTTCAATCCCCATGTTAAAGGTGGCCCTTTTCCTTTAAGTTATTTCACGCATAGCTACCTACTCGCCGAAGGCGAGCTTTCAGTCATGCCAAACTTAAGGTCGTCTGCCAGTGCCTCCTCGCTATAACCAGAACGCCTTCGATTTGCGGATATGGTAATGCTGGCATCTGCATGCCTATTTGCATATGACGGTTGAAGTTTCAAGACGGGCAATGTCACATTCGACAACGGGCAGGCGGTTGAGCAATGCGCGAGCAGAAGACCGTTGACATTGTACTGACCTTGCCGGCTACATGTAGCCACACTGAGCGTTAGTCACACCGTTCAAACAGAAGATGCTAACACATGACTAAAACAGCATTCAGTCTCCAGACGACCAAAAAGCTAAGCTCTAAAATCCGAACCACAGGCGGGGCCCACTTTTGGGTAAGTTTTCATGTTCACTGTTTTCACCTCGAAATGTTCAATGTTCATCTAGCGATTTGAGCTTTTTGTCTCGGAAGAAATCGAGCGGGGCCATTGTGAAGCATTATTTGGTCCGATATGTTTATAGGCTACGTATCTTCCTATTTTCAATCATAGCTGGATCCAGAAAAGCGATCTCGAACGTTGCGGGGATATACCATAATTCCCTCAAAAACTTTTTTTTTCAAACTCCAAAAACTCCTTAGGTTTTGACTACATACGCACTGCCATGCATTATGCAATTTAAAGCAAACTTTTGCTCATAAAAGTTGTTAAGTTCTCTTTCTTTTTTAGAAGACGACATATGTTCATCGACATCGGGCGCTGCGAAGGGGGAAGGGCACTTCAATCGGGTCTGTAGATTGATAGGCGTCTAAATCGCACGACTGACCCACGACTGACGCAGTCGTGCGACCAAGTCCCTGCTTTTTAATCATTAATGTTGATTGCAAGAATAGCTGTTGAAAAGCGGCTGTTATCCTATAGACGGTGCTGCAATTTCATAGCTTCTGGTAGGTATGCTCACTAAATTCGCAATTCAGTGCAAAATTCTGATGAGCGGTTCCATTTATCTCCAGCAAAGTGGCTCCCCGCGGTTGTCATGAATGTGTAGGACGTAAACCATTTGAAGCCGATTCATTCCATGCATCGTTTAGTGGCATGATAACGATATTCATAAGCCGTTGAAATTATGCACTTATGCAGGAAATGCGAAGAAACAGCTTTTTAAGGGGTTACTTGTTACCCCGTGCCGTAACCTGCAGGTCTAGCGTGTAGATGAATTTACAGTCGATGGAATGCGTCATTACGTCGCTTCTTAAAGTTGTTCGTTTCTCCGATTGAAGCATGCTAAATGCATCGCTGATAGGTATGTGGCAGGATTAGAAAATGTGCGCGACATCTTCTAAACCTAATTTTAGTATCTACACATGTCGCAACTAATCGCAGTTACCTACATCGCGAAGCACTTCTACCTGACCTACAGCACCGAGTACCAACACTTCAGCTCCTTTTATTCGTCTTACTTCAAATAAAATTTATACCGCAAGTTAAAAAGCAAAACATCACAATTTCCCAACATGCGGAAACTCAACATGCGGCCTCGTTACAGACTGCAGCTGAGAGCCTATTCATTCTGTTGTGTGACGTCAAGATGACGCTGAAGGATGGGGGATGGGAATTTAACCGTGAACAAGGACATAACTGCCCTTATCCAGAGTTCAAAACTTTTACAGCCTTCGCTCCGACCGCTCGGAGGGCTCACCTGTGCCTGCTCCTCCCCCGAAGTAGCCCGTCCAGGAAAGCCGTCGCTGCCGCCCGCGGAGCTGCTGTGACCGCCGCTGCCTCCCGCGAAGAGCTGCGACCGCAGCGGCGCATCGGCAGCGTGTGCGGCGCGCGGCGGCCGGTCGGTGTTGGTCCGCGACGGGCCATCTATCGCCGTGTCACCGGCAGCGGCCATTTGCATGGGGTCATCAGGCCCCGATCGGACACCGGGCGCCGCGGCATTTCCATACGGGCCGGCCACCTGCATAGACAATGAGCGGCGCCGGGCGCGGGCCTTGCAGGTGAGAGGCGTGCCGGCGGCGGCGGAGGCGCCGCGCTGAACCAGATGTGTCCGGAGTGCCCACGGGCAGCGACCTGACCCGACCTGACCCGGCGCCGGCCAGGCTGAGCGGTCACAGAACGGAGGTATCGGCTGTGCCGGTCGACCCCTTGCGACACAGACGACTCGTGAAGAGCCCATAAGCCGGCCGAGAGAGTTGCACGTGATGTTTGCTACGGAGTCGGCTGAAGACCGTATCGGGAATGCAAATGAATGCGACTCTCCCCTCGAACTGCGGGGACATCAACAAGTTGCGGTCGATTTCCGACTGCGAGACGCGGCCCTCAGCCACCGAGGTGCCTACACTCCCATTCATCGGTTGGGTTATCAATTATCAGGTAAGAGCGCTAAAATACCGGATTATATTGAAATGTAGTATAGATAAACTCAGTCTGAATACGTAAAACTGTTTTAAGCTAAATAACACACGCTTCATAGCACGCTTCATAGCGGATGGGCGCCATTACCGCTCCAGTCCTCACGCAAAAAGGGCATGGGTGCACGGGTAGGCGATTGAAGCTTCCGAAACTGACGACTACAGAGGTTATTCTCATATGGTTCTTTAAAGAAAAAAAAACTAAAAGCATTAAATAACTGTTACGTGATGCTCTTTTGATGATTGTTTCCGTGGCCCATGGGCATGGGCTATGAAAAAGGGCAAGTGGGGACCTTAGTATTCATTACAATGTTGCAATGCCAAGTGGGATAAAGGTTGCTGCGTAGACATTTCGGGTCGGCTGACGCAAACTTTCGCAAGGAACAGGTACAGGTGTGGTACGACTAAGCGATAGATTCTCTAACGTTCCAGTCACCATGTGTCAGCGAGTATTCACATGTCATCTGCATGAGGTATTTGTCGAACGTTACCAACGATGGGTTATTTATGATTCAGGGGCGATGGTGCTACTCCTTTCACACCAAGTGCGGCACTTGCTTTCGCAAGTTTGGGAGTCACACAGGCCCCACTGCACCGCACTTGCTGTGCTGGCAAAACTGGATTGAGGGCGAGTCGAAATGAGAGAAAGTGTACATCATGTCCTAAGAATACAGTCGCATTTGTTGTCAGTCACCCGCCATTCACTAGGGTAATCGATACAAACGAGCACCAAGTCCGATTTTGTACTTATTAGCAGGCGGACATGGATTTTTCTGCACTTAATTCACGGACCTCGTATTGTCAAGCGTGTTTTACTGCTTTCTCGGTAACAATTTATAATTTGTGTGAGTTACCTGATTATAACAGACATTTAAGAACGTAACGAACTTTCTAAAAAGAAGTAGCTATATGCATACAATACACTGTATTAAAGCATTCATAACAAAAATTTACACTTTCTCGCAAATGGCCACCAGCACATATCATAATACAAAACACCTGTAGCAAATACATCGAACGATTACCATGTCATGCACAATACGAGGACAAGGCGCGTGCAACTCGTAGCATACGCAGGTAGATGTCCGGTGATCATAGAACATCATCACATCTGCGATATCCACTCAAAGACGCGCACCCAAACGCCTCGCACCTAAACTCGACCTTCACATAACACACCCATAAAGAGAAGTTTCGACACGAAAAGGACAATAATTTTAAGTGCAGCTCAGCTCTCGTAGCTCCATACCAACTGCATTCACGGAGCAGAGCTGGAAGAGAAGTTGTTACTTTTCAAATACAATGATCGCACCAGAGCCGTGTTTTTAACGATGATTATATGAATGAGATCTGGTCAGACGAGCATTCTTTATCGAAAAAAGCTCATAACTGAGCAAGCTCTGTCTTGTCGAAAGTTGAACAGAATCCGCACATCCGAACTGAGGATCCGTGAGTCTCTAAGGTGTCGGGGGATACCCCGCAGGCTTCAATCAGGTCTCCATCTCGCAGACTGCGAAGAGCTGCATTGACGTCGTTCTCGGGAGGACATGCACCGGCGAGACATGTCCATTGTCCATCAGATCGCGCCTCTGCTAGGAGTGGAGGCCCATCGGTGGGTGCCTCTCTGGCCTCTACATAACCCCCGGAACCTCTACGTTCACAGACGCCGGTGTCTCCCCGACACAGAAGAGGCCTCTCGGTCGCACAAAACTCGTCGATGTCACAGCGATTTACAGGGAGGCGGTGCCAGCCGGTAGCGTCCTCTGTTTGAATCACCACGTCCTGAGAGAGGCGCCGACCGGCGGCAATCCGCCATTGTCCGGACACACGAGAGGAGCGTCGCTGTCAGACGTCGACGCGCGGCTGATAGCACAGCTGCATCGGTGGGTCTTTGAACCTCCAGCGAGTCACAAACACAAACTTGAGCGTATGGTCCTTCCCCAGCATCTCGTCGTTGCAGAAAATGTCGATCTGGGAAAAAAGTACCACTCAGACTCACACATTCATACAAAAAGAACTAAATAGACCAATCACGTTCACATATTAGTTTTGATGTTTGTAATGACCAAAAGTTGTTGCATGCCGTTGGCAAGCAGCCCTGCCAGGCGACAGAGGTGTGGCTGCAATGATATGGAAGGCGATACGAGCGGGCCCCGTAAATCATCACCCTGTAACCTGTCGTCGGGCCATCAGCGCCTCCCCGCCGTGTCGCCGCCAGATAGAGACGAGCGATTTCACTTCTCACCGGCCGGACGAGAGCTCGTCCTCGGCCCCGGCACACCACCGTGTCACCGCATGTCGCAACCGGCCGTGCAAGGACACCTCAGAGCCGCCCCGCGTCCGTCCGCATACCAGAGCGAGAAACGCCGATGCACATGTACGAATCTCGGCGCTCGTACATCATCGCCCAGCCAACACTGCTTTTCACGGAGCGCTCATGCCGATGCATCAGCCGCATGAATATTGGAGTCGGCGTCTGTCACAGCGCAGGGGCCGCACCGGGTGGGTTGGGAAGGGACGGGGCGACCCTCTCAAACGCGGCGTCCTGGCGGCCGCTCTGATGGCCCGATAGGGGCGCTGGGGCTGCGTGATATGCACGACGGTGCCGGGGCAGGGGGTGGGGGGGGGGGGGGGTGACAGACACGTGACGACAGGCCCCGGTTACCACCGGAGAGGGGCGGTGGCGACAGCGCCCGACACGCCGCGCAGGTGCTGTTACCGAGACGCTGGCTACTGAGGAGCGGCACCCGGGCGGGACGGAAGGCCTCAGTGGAGACGGGCGGCGCTGGGTGACTGCTCGAACGGGACTCGCCGCGAAGCGAAACCAACGATATACTTAACAGACAATATGCTCGTTAGAATAAAATCTACTCTTTTTACGGGTTAACTTAGGTACTCAGCAGCCAAGCAGCTTGTGCGCTATTCCATCTGACTGACACCATATGACTACGCATACGAGTCATATGGTTATACTCGTATTTTGCCAGCTATGAACTTTTTTACAGGTATCATATCATTGCGATTTACGTTTTGACATAACGATGAAAACCTTCGGATCAAGTAAAAAAGGGAAACGCAAACGAAGCACGGAACTGACGAAAGTACCCACCTCTTTGTACTTGTCCATACTGTTGAGGATTTTGAGCGCGACAAACTTCTTGAGGTGGGTGATGGTTGCTTGTGCTGAACAGCGGATGTGCTCTCGACTGAGCTTGCTCAGTTTTGAACTGGAACACTCCAGGGATATGTTGACCTGAAAGGTGACATCAGTGTTACGACTGGTTGTACATTCAAAGTACCTAACTAGGACAAAGTCAGCCAGTAACCTAGAAATATAGCGAACAATGAAAACTCGAATTTATCATGACTGCAAAGAGCGCACACCACCACAGTCTTGGCTATTGCTATTGACCACACAGAGTGGCTATTGCTGGGTTGAAAAGCCTGGGTAAGAGCTGCATAGTTTTAAATCGTAACCAATCATTAAAACAAAAACAAAAACAAAAAACGGAACCCAACCCAGACGTGAGAATTACGAGAAGTTTGGAGCGAACTGCAACATGCAACGCAAAGCTTAGCCACAGCCTCCTGGGGCGAACCGACTTTAATACACAAGACTGGCCATGTTTGACCCAGCATAGGATAAAGAAAGCCGAGGTCAGCATTGAAGTCCCTTCCCCTGTTGATCAAATAATGCAATCTGCATCAAGTATAGCCACATAACTTGACATTGCACACCGCACAACCAAGACATCTAGAGAAAATGTTTCTATCAATGCTGCCACCTGGTGACAGGTATAGCAACCACAGGTGATCACATGTGACCAGGGAACGACTCAAGTACCAGAGTCACCTGGCGACAGAACTTTGGACCAGTGAGCCTAGCGTACTACGCTAGGCGCTGAGCGAGACCACTGCGTGAAAATCAGGAACCAAAGGTTCACCCAACTCCCGCTAGGTTCGAGTGTTATTGGACAAGTCCGCCGACCACGCCACCCTTTTCTGGAGAAAAGGTAACACAATACCGTACTTGAGAAAAACACGTAATACCGGAGCTCGAAAAAAACAAGGTTATTTTCAAAATACTTCGACAACGTTTATCCTCGTAATCCTGGATCCTAAAAACGTCAACGCCCGACAATTAGACACCAACATGCATCGATGCACGCACACAATTCACCGGGTAACTCCACACGAGTAACCTGTTCTGTCTGTCATCAGGTCCGGCAGAAGACCAACTGACCTGTTCGTCCAGCCTGTGGTAGTCCTGTCCCTTGACGGCCTCCTCTGTGCCACCGTTGGCCTCGTCATCCTGCCCGGTCTGGTCCTTCGGGTTGGGCAGGCCGCGCGACTTGTAGAACGCCCGTTCCCGCTCCATCTCGTCTGCAAAAGGTAGGTCAGTCATCGGTGGCTTCAGTGGTTCTCAGCTTATCACAAATGACATTGATGCCGTTCGTTACCATCCAATGTGGAAAATATAATATGCAAGAAATCAATGCAAGAAAGGCTGTATTGATAGTTTTAAATCTATCATGCATCAAAAATTTTCAATACAGCAAAAATAAAATCATGTACTTGTCCTACTACAAATCTACTGCTGTTATTATTTTTATCATAGTATAATTCGTAATGCTTGGCACAAGTAATGGTTTTACTCTGAATATGGTGCCCAGTGCAACTGGCCAAGAAAAGTGTGTGAAAGGGTGGGTGAAGGGAGAGGCTTTGAAGTGCTAGACACCTCAATGTCAGCCCCTACGCCCTGTGTCACATTAGTAGGGGATTGATTTCACTACTGTATTCTCTACAGAAACTCAAGAAAACTATCATCACTATCAGGTGCCATCATTTCCAAGCAGCTCTGCCCCATAGAAGTTGTGTAAGGAGTTTAAATTCAAAATAAAATGCAAGACATTACTAAGGTAGACTGAACATGCTTAGTAGCACATAGGTATGCATGATTGATGACTCACCTTAATAGGATAGGGTTGATTGTCACATCCATTTCATCCAATGTATGACTTACCTTCCAAAATGTTTGGCACCAGTTTGTAGACAATGTCCTGCATGGTCCTGTCGAAGCTGATGTACTGCAGTGGGTGCGACTGGTGGATGATGCTGTTGCACTCTGGACATGTGTTCCTCTCCTCCAGGTGCTTCACCAGACAACTCTTGCAAACTGCAAAACAATATGTACAAAATCAGTGTGGTCCAGCATTAGGTATACATATGGTATTAACACAAAACAGTAGATGGCATGACCAACTTATTAGCTGGCTTATTACATGTTGATATAAATAGTGCAATTACAGGTACATTGACTTTTTCATGACATGCTGTTACAGGAGAAAAGCACATGTTTCAGCTGACATTTTCAAAATTTGCAACCTTTATTCTTACATCACAAATGATGGTTTTAGCGGGTGATCATAAATAAGATTTTATAAAATCGCTGGAGTTAATCTGCTATCCGCATCTTAAACTGTACCTACTTGAGGAGATACTAGATACAATCTATGCATCATAGATACTTACATGTATGCAGGCATTCTGTTATTGTTGTTGCATCAACAAAGTAACCTTTACAAATCTTGCATGTGATATTGGGATTTATGTCTTCAAGTTTGATTTCTACCTCCATGGTCTCTTGCTTTACTTTCTCACTGAAAAAAAATGGCAATATGAAATATGCACTTTGTAATCTATAAGAGTATCAAACAAGTTTTACTAATGACAAAATAAGAAGGTGAAATCTCTGATCCAGAGGCCAGTTTTACCAACAGAAAAATAGCCACCTGCTGGAATTTTTTGCCTTAAGACAGCTTCACATTTGGAGCGTCAACGTGATGGGCGTGTAAACGGCTAGGGCTTTATCTTTTACGCTCCATGTGTGAGGCGGTCTTAAGGCGAAAAATTTCTGCAGGCAGCTATTTTTCTCTGGTTTAACTGGCCTCTGCTGTGGTCAGATTTGATAACCTTGGTTTGACTTGCAGAAAGAAGTCATATTGTGATTTGCTAGTTTTCAAATTTCACCATTGATTTTTGAGTGAGCCTCAGAGCAGAATAATCATTAATTGTCAGTCATGACTCATAAGTCCCCATAGCGCTGAATAACGTCAGGTAACTAATAAGCTACCACAAAAACTCACTCTTCCATCCCATTCCAATTCTACCCACCGGCCGCCACACCCGTTTCTCACACAAAAACGTCATCCACTCATCAAAAAGGGAGTCCATATTACGACTTATGAAAGATCACTTATTATACTCTCACCTTTACACAACCCAAAATACCTACAAAAACCGAAATTATTTCGAGATACCTATCGCCGATAACAATAATGCAAGCAAGACAGCGCGCGCGTTGAAATGCGCCATAAAATGTAAGTGCGCTATTTACGTATACTTTGGTAGCAATTGGTCGAAGGCTACCAAATGTTCATTTCTACTTGTTTTTCCCTAACGGGATAGGCCTTGGGAAAGGCGAAAAACCATTGGATGATTTCTGGCTCTGAAGCCGGACGGCGGACACATTCAGCCCGAAACAGGTGTCGTACATTTTCAAGTACGTTTTCGCCCATGAAGGCAAATAGTGAAGGCCAATGCGTGGGACAAACTGTTGGCACGTTTCTATTTTCTAAACAAAAAGTCTGGAAAGAGCACGGATAATGCGTACCCCGGCCTGATATGGTCTCGGGAAGCAGGCCACATGTCACTTAGGACAGGATCATTTGAGTTTAACCCGCGCCCCGCCGCTGGGGTCTGCCGAGCAACGCGCCCTGCTGGGGGGGGGGGCAATTTCCCCCCCCCCCCCCTAAGATCTCGAGATCCACGCAACATAGCGACAAGCGGCAAACGGTGTTGGATAACCCTATCAGGGAACTACCTTGCGACCCAATTTCAATGACCTAGGTCAAATCGATGACGTCACAGGTCAGGTCAAATGCCGAATTTTCACCATTTACACTTTACAGGCATTTCAAGAAATGCGTTGTAAAATCGAGCAAAATGCATTTAATTGAAAATCATCGGTGGGGAAATTTTCGTGAAACACATATTCTGCTATTTTAGGTCACTGATACCAGGTCAGGTCACAGAGGTCAGGTCACTGAGGATCACAATATGAAAATATGTGATGCATGTTTTATGGTCCATTTTATATGCCAAATACGATTATGTGGGTCAGACAGCCTTTGGGGTCAGGTAAGATTATGTTCTGATGAAGGTCAGGTCAAGGTCAGGTCAAATTAGGTCAAATTTCATAGTTGATATTTTTGCATAAAATGGGTATCGATTCGATGCAGCTTGTCACGGGGAGTTCAACGGCAGTCTTTGTTTTGCGCTATGGGTTCTAGAATTGCCAAAAATTGAGTTAAAAATTTGACGTCAACAATTTTGAAGTTTTTTTTTGCTATAACTTGGCCAAAAAAGGAGATATCGATTTCAAATTTGATAGGTAGATAGAAGAGGGTAGGGACTATCACATATTGTTTTTTTCGATATTCGGAAAACTTTGGGATTTTTTGCGTTTTTCTACCAAAATCTTTTTTTTTGAATTTTTTGGGTCAAAATCCAAAAATTTCAAAATCCGAGTGAGCAGTTTTTTGAGCAGTTCAGTTTCTTTTGTCTACATGACCATATAAAGAACTTTGAAATTGCTTGGTAACTGTAACTTTTGTGAGCGTTTCAAGATTTCATGTTTTTTGTTCATTTTTGCTGGAACATGACCTCAGTTTGACCTCAACAACTCCTGACCTAAGGTGACCTAAGATTTGAAATTTTGTGTGAAGGTGTCAAATTGATGCCCGGGAAGGTAGTGAAAATTTGGCGGCGCTGCGCGCCGCCGTTTTCTTGCTATTCAGGAAAAGCAAAGGGGGCGAATTGCCCCCCCCCAGCGTGGCGAGGGTTAAAAGTATGTGTCAAGTTGATTAACTGGTGGTGGTCCATACTCCATCCGATTCCCCCTCCTCCTCTCCCAATAAGTTCGAGAGTTAAGATTAATGTTGCATGAACAGGCTTTAAAAAAATAAATCTACAGCAGCTAAAAAAAGGTATATCACATTGCTATAACCGCTTGCAATTCATTATATCCCTGGCGGAAAATATCTACCTTCATTGCAGCCGAATTACATACAAACATTGATCATCGCTAGCTTTAGCGTTTCGAGTTTATTGGCCCGATATAGGTAAGGTATATAAGGAGCCAAAGACACATATGTATAGTTGCCAAAGAGTATACGAATACGATGCAATCATCTTTCTCGTGGCTCTCGTTTCCAAGAAGCTTATGCCTGTGGACAACAGCTAACTAACATATGATAAACAAATCAATCCATAGAAAACACCGGCCTTAGAAATCGCCTAACTCTCCCAAACACATTGTCACCTTTAAGCCATAGTACTCACGCTCTTCTCAATTCACATCCTAATTGTATCACACTACCGTCGCACTATGTTTTAACTCAGGATCAAAACTGGCCAGGGCACGTAACTAAGAAACTATATGAGATACAGACGTGTTTTTGGGCTCAAACGACACGTTGGTGACTAACGATCATTTAGAGTGCAAAATGTGTCGGACCAGATGCTTATGTACTTGTTTATGATGTCACAAGTGTCACGAAAAATATACAAATATTGTGTCATATTCTAGCTATGAATGCACGAGCATTTAGGTATCGTAAATTTGTAATCGTATCTATAAAAGTAATCGTAAGTCTGAGCAAGGCTCATCGACGAGGCAAGCCAAGGTTGAGGACATGACCTTGTTAGTTAGCGTTGATGACCTCAGATGACCTTGAATGCCCTTATATAGGACTTATTCATATAGGACCTACAATCTTTATATTTATTTCAAAAACATTTTCAAACGTATGTTTTGATATCAACTTGATGTTAACCCTGTATCCACTTTAGTAAGTCCCGAGTCCTGTATGTTTTACGGCACATGACGTCAGGGGCGGATCCAGCTAATCCGTTTGGAGAGGGCAAAAGTTTCCGACCCATTCGGTGACCTCGACCCACCGCCGCGCCGGTGCTTTTACAACGCTTCACTACGTCTGCAATCAGCATGTGTGCAGTTCAGGGAGTTCCATCTGTTATCAGCATACCGACCTAAACAATGAGCAGCGAGCGGTCAGCTCCATCCCTCAAAATGATTGTGACAAAAAGACCTGCTTTTCGTCCAGATAGGCATCGACGCTGTATTATATTTCTCATCACCAAAAGCTTTGGGAGCGGCAAAAGGATAGTCTTGCCCACACTATTCAGCTATGGGGAGGGCAAATACCTAGCTATGCCCTTCACTGGATCCGTCATGCATGACGTGAAATGGTAGAATGTATCCCAAAACTTCTTACCAATTCCTATTGTATGGTGCGTTATGTAACATGCAACGTGCAAGTGTAAAAGCACTTCATTGTCATACTAATTGACGCTTACTGCTGCAAACTGATGCTTTTTTCATAAAGGTGGACAGCACTAATGGTACCATACCACCTACATCGAACGTAGTAATACTGACTGAAGCGGCCGATGGTAACCCTGCCGAACGCAAACAGGTAATGGACGACCAAAAGCCGATCATCGTGATCAGCAGTCTGTGTCAGGTCTCATAGTCACCTTTCAGCTCAAAGTCCCATCATAAACTGGGCACAATGAATATTTAATTGCGCTTCATCAGGCACTAAATATGTTTATAAACTATCAAGGAAGCATGTGTAGCGACCATATAGCTCCAGAGCCCATCTATGAATTTACTGCAATAGCCATGGGGTGGAAGGTTCCTGTTATAGACCTATAGGTACTATATTTCATCAATTACACCGGTAACGCTGTTGATATTTAAGAAATGTTTATTTCATAGGAATGCTAGCAGTGTTTGAATGAACAAATGTCATTCATCGACATTGTCCGGTCTCTGGTTCCGGAGACCCTTTGTTTTCTTCTCGCGACACATGAAAATGCAGCTGGCACGTGTCGTAGGGGGTCGTGCCGTCAGCTGATTACGCCCCAGGGTACGGCAGGTCGCACACAGGTCGGCGACCTTCTATGGGACACCAACTCGTCACAACAGACGAGATGATGAACGAGGAGTACTAGCATTTTCCCTTGACGCACGCTAGCGACCGTCCCATGGCTCAGCATGAGCAGACGTGACTCGTTCAAAAAAGTGTTCACCCCCAACACCGGCGCACTCAGGCGCAGCTGAAATTTTGAGGGCATATAGACAACTCCTTGACCCACAGTGTGGTGGTAGTCCGAGACCGTACACTAGCGTACAATTTTTTGTAGCTCTATTAGAACATTGACATATTTAAAAAAAAGTGAGCCAATGTAAGGGCTGACGGAAATCAATAAATGTAACACTTATATGCAGCATAATTATATAAATTTAGACTCATTACAAAGCCAAAAGCTGTCGTTTGGTACCCAAATTATATAGTTTTGTCAATCCAAAGCTCGAAGATGTTGACGTGAAGCAAGGCGACTGTTTCTGCGTTTGTTCGCCGAAGTTTAGCTTTCGAGAATTGTCTGACTTTGTTGTACATTTTCAACGTTTTCAAAAGTAAAGAGAATACAAGTTTCCGTCGTTAAAGATGCTCTGATCATTTTTGAACACGATAGTGGCCAAATGAAAACGTTTAAAAATAGTCGATATTTCGCGTCCTGGCCAGTTTTTGGCCAGAGTTAAAACACGGTGCGTCGGTGGCTGCTGCGGTCCGCTCCGCCCACCGTTTGTTGCATGGACGGCCGGCGCCACCCGGTGTGTGCCAGTGCCCTCGAGGGAGCGCGGGCAGCGCCGTCTCCCCGCCGGCTCCCAGTCGCGCTCGGGCTGTGGTGTGAGGAGGTGACGTCCATCTCCGGAGAGTCGCGGGTCACGACAGGTCACGGCTGGTTTGGGAGCCGTCCGTGCGAGTGGGCTCAGTTGGAGACAGTGTTCTGTGACGTGTGAGCGTTCAGAAGCTACGTTGCAACTGGAGAGTAAAAGAAGCTACGTTGCTGCTGGAGTCGATTGCAGAGGAGATCGCCCTGTTCATGGTTCTGATAAGGTGAGTTTTCATGGCAAAATTTCACTAAGGATTGGATTTGGTTTGCCTTATAGGTGATCTCAGCAAACCTTCGTAGCTTGAGCAGCAAACCTATCGTGGCGTAAACCGTCGGCGAGCAACCGTTTACACTATGAGCATTGTTTTTAACGTCTTCAGACTCGTTGGCGTCATTATTATTAAGTCATTAGCAGGTATACATAACTTGTATCAGCATTCATCCTAACCGCACCTAGAAATCGATGGCTTATAAATAAACTAAACTTGAGTATATCATGGACAGAAGCAATCGATATCGTTG